TGTTTTTTTTTCGCTCGCTCGCTCATTGAAAACATTGACCGTTCGCCCAAACACTGAAAACTGGCACATGGGTGGTCGAAATGGTGGTTTTGATAGTAAAGTGTGAACATACAACTAGTATTAACTATTATTAAATTCTGTACGACACTTCAAATCTAGTAGTTGTATTGTGAAAGCAACTGAACTGGGACCTCTTGTTACGTGTTTTGGGTGCTTGTTCTAGATGTAATATTTTTTATTTTAATGAGACAGTTACGTGAAAAAAGCCTAGGTAACTCCTTTTGACAGAGCAGAGAAACGAGGAAATGTTAGTGATTAATTCCAAAAATAACGATACCGAATCCACATCGGTCCACGTCTGGTAAAATTTGACATTAAATTTTTAAAATTAAGTCACGATCATTGAATGAGCTCGGTCTATACCGTATACGTACCGCAAAAGTGTTCCCACAAAAAATATTTTCGACTAAAAACAGCCACATGCCCTGAAAAAATCGAACAGAGCTTGACATGTATGAATAATTTATTGGACTTAAAAGAAAAACGTGTCAAATTTAGTTATAGCCATAACTATTTGGTGGCCAGTCGATGAACAATTCAAAACTCGGGATTCACACGGAAGTCCTTCAGGGCTGAAAATCATTAACGCTACTCTGGTTTACTTTATTTCACAACTTGCAGAGAAAACTGATTTGCGTGAACTCTAATGTATCTTAGCCTAGTATTTTCTTTTTGAACTATGGTCAAATTCCATCAGTTTGTCAAAATATATGTTTTTCAGCGAATAATTTTGAAGCCTGTCACAGCACAAAAAATCATGTGAATCGACGCCGGTGATTGGATTGTATGACGACCCTTCAATTAGCGTCAAATATGCTTTGTTACAACATCATTGATTGGCTGAGAGTCACAGAACCATATTTGTCCGTATTATCAACAGGACTTTGCAAAATACCACACCCACATTTTCAATCTTTTTTAGCGCGGAAGTTGCCAACAATGTTAAAAAAAATCGTGAATTTCATGGATTCGAATAAAATAAAGCAAGCGATTGATAAGGATGATTATTAATATTTTCCCCGATGCTCTTCGAATTTTTATTTTTTTTATTTCAAGGTAAAAAATGGCTAGTTGAAGTTGCATCGTCTTCAATGCAGTTGTTTCACCACGAACAACTCTAGCTCTGTTTTGGGTATGGTTTAGTTTTGCGATGTAAATTAAAATATATATTAAAATAATAATATTGATTAATTATTTGGGGTTTCAGCCCACAAATTACGGACATGATCCCCATGAATTACGGTCAATGTTTGTCTTCTCTCGGCTGATTGTCACGGTGTTGATCGACGCCCTTCCTAAACTCAGTATGGAGAAACCAACGGGGATCGATGATGAACT